TTCTCATTATCTGACAAATCCATAACAATGCATCCTACAATAAAAGTATTAGGCTTTTCACAACATACTTCACCTGTGGAGTCCTTGGGGTTCTCTGAGCTTGGTTCTTTTCTTGCAAACGTTTCATTACCCAGCTAGGTAACATCTTCAGTGCTACCAAGCTCAGAGAACCCCAAGGACTCCACAGGTGAAGTATGTTGTGAAAAGCCTAATACTTTTATTGTAGGATGCATTGTTATGGATTTGTCAGATAATGAGAAACAAGCATTTACTGCAGAAAGAGAAATATTGAAACAAGTCACTGCTAGGACCTTTTTCAAACTGTGTTCTCTAAAAACTGAAGATCTATATAGTAATCAGTTGTTTACTATTGTCAGAACAAAAAGGCTTAAGTTTCCTCATAAGTCTGGTGGCACTGAGTAAAACTTAATGATTAAAGGATATATTATTACAAATAAACAAAGTTAATCTGGAAAGACTCTGGAAAGCAGACACTTAAAACAATAGTGTGATAGAGAAAACTGAAAATAGAGATCCCACCAATAGGAGTTTTTGAAGCAGTAAAAATTTGTGCAAATTAATGGAGGGTTTGAGTAGTTGGCCATTTTTCAAAATGGAAGAGGCAAAGCATTTCTGTTTAAATCCACATTTTAGCCTGTAATTATTAAATTAATGCAGGTTATATTATATATGATAGGACAATTTGTATTGATGTTGTCTGGAATAAAGGAACAGTGCCCTCTGCTGTAAACTCTGCAGGTAGCATATCAAAGTAAAACAAGTATCAGGCCCTGGGCTTGAAGATCCACACATAATCTTCCTAGTCTGTTGTGAGCCCAGCTACAAGCTGCAAAATGCAGCAGGCTTCCTGTAGCAGTTCTAACCCCCCCCCCCCCACTTTTGTTAAGAGCATTTACATGCTATCTTGCCTTTCTCAGTTTTCAAGCATTGCCTTGGATAAAGGTTTTTCTTGTTTGTGTGTGTGTTTTAATTGAATGAATACAAAAAATTAAACAGAAAAATAAACAATACACAAAGTTATAAAAAAAGAAAGAAAAGTATCATTATGGAAAAAGAAAGAAAAATATCACTAAAGAAATGTTTAAAAAGGAGACAAAAGCACACATGGCTTCATGGATACACACATATGTTCATGGATAAATATACATAGTATATAAAAGGTACAGGCAGTTCAGTAAATAGTAGCCCTGTTTCATTAAATGCCTCCAGAGCTAATCTACATCAATAAGTAATTTGTTCATAACTTGTTAATATCAGTGCAGACCATTGAATAATAAGGGGAAAGGTGATAAAGCATATAAAATAATTCATATACGGAAAATGTGGATAGAGAAAAGTTTTGATCTTTCTCTCAGAATATTAGAGTCATCCATTAAGACTAAATGTAGGGAAATTCAAGACCAATAAAAAGAAATACTTCTTTACTTAATGGATATATACATGGTGGAATTTGCTGCCATTAGATTGGGGATGGTTAAATTTGACAGTTTAAAATGGACACTGGATAAATTCATGATTAGGCTATTAATGTCTGCTAGACTGGATAGCTATTTATTGCTGCGGGAATTGCAGGCAGCACAACTGTCTAAATTTGAAAGCTTGCAGAATGTATTTATTTGCCATATATGACACAGAATGCCATTAGCAAAGTTCTTTTAGGTACTGTTTCCAGCATCTATTGAAGATGTACCTTTTTGCTCAAATCCTTCCCTTTTCCTGACAAAAGATGTTGTGTTGTTTTTATTAGTATTGTTTTATTTAAATTGTTTTACATTTTACTTTGTTTTACTTTATGCATTGCTTAGGGACTGTTTTAACAATGCGGTTTAGAAATGTTTCAGAATCCACGATAGTAACGTTTTCAAACACAGGTAAAAGTATATAAGCAATGCATTCTTCTAAACTGTTGCACGGGTATCTCAGCTGACGTGATCAGCGAAGGCGTTGATAACCAAACCCAAGGATACTAGCTCGAAAGCGGAAAGTCAACGGGACAGTAACGAGAGGGGGCGGCCTATATAGGTGAGCTGGAAGGAAAGGTAAACATTTTGGAAACACTCTGCCTCCTGCATCAGTGCCCAGAGTGACCAGTACCTGCTTTTGCTACATCAGCTTTCCCGCTCTCGGAAACTGCCTCCAAACGACAGGCAGTTCAGCCAGCTGCGCCCGGCAGAGCGCTGCAGAGGAACGGGGCTGGGATCTCTCTGCCCGAAGCCACGGGCTCTCCTCCCGGGCCAATTGATCGCCGCCGCGCGTTCTCCTCGCCACCAATGGCGTCTCCTCCAGCCGCTGGGGGGCGCGCTGCTCAGGCGCTGCCCGCCTCGGCGATGGCGGCGAAGGCTTCCCCCGCGGGCAGGGGCCGGACGGGCCGCGCCGCCATATTGGCTGTTGTCCTGTCTGAAAGCAGCAGCGGCGGTGGCGGCGAGCGGCGTTAGCGGCGGCGAGCGGCAACGGCATTAGCGGCGGCGAGCGGCGGCGGCGGGCGCGACTGCGTGGGGCGCAGGACAAGCATGACTCGCAGGCGGAATAAGGCGGTGGGCGCGGCTGGGGCGCGGCGGGAGCGGGCGGGGGGAGCAGCCCCCCTCGAGCCGCCCGCGCCCCCCGCCGGGCCCGGCCTCCCGACGACACCCGACGGTGGCGGCGGTGGCGGCGGCGACCCGCGCGGGGCCGGGGAAAAACCCAAAGGTACCGGGAACGCGGGCCCCCCACTTCCCCCCCGCCAGAAACCAGCCT